TCCGTTATAGCCCACATAACATCCTCCTCCGCAAGCTCCTCCTGACGAACCGCGTAATCGGCGAAATAGTCTCGCTAGAACACTGCGAGCCAGTAGGTTGGTGGCACTTCTCGCACAGTTATGTCCGGGGGAACTGGCGACGCGCAACAGCAGCAGGCGACGGCTCTCTCCTCACCAAATCCTGCCACGACATCGACTTCATCCTATGGCTCCTCTGCTCCCCGCCCTCACCCGAAACAGCATCCAAACAAGCCCACAAGCCGCACTTCCCACGCTCCATCTCCTCCGCTGGCAGCACGACTCAGTTCCGCCGAAAGCGCAAACCTATCTCCGCAGGCAACGCTACAAACTGTCTCTCCTGCCCCGTTGAGCGTGACTGTAACTACAGCGCGGTTAGAATCTATAATGACCGCCACCTCGCGACGGGTCACACCGCTTGGCCGGTTGACATCGTCTGCCCGGATATCGAAGATGAGTTCCGTGCCCAAGGCGGGAAAGCTGCCGAGTCGTTGCTCCTCTCCCGTCTTGCCGAGGACTATGACCGGGGTACAGTGCCGGACTCGGATATCGCTGCGCGACCTTGGTACGGGCGGTGCGTCTACGAAGCTGATAATGATGTCTGCGATGATCAGATTGTGACGTTGGCTTGGGATGATGAGGAGACGGCGCCGCATCGCCTCGCTAAAACGGCGAGTTTCCATATGATTGCGCCCACGGAGAAACAGTGTGAGCGTCGGGGCCGCGTCTATGGTACTACTGGTGAGGTCTCGTATGATAGTACAACGATTTCTGTTTATGATTTTGCTACCGCGAAGACTTCTGTCTTTGATGTGCCGAAGCCACCCCCAGGGCAGAGTGAGTCGCATGGTGGTGGGGACTTTGGACTTGCGAGGCAGTTTGTTAGTGCTGTTGAGGCAGTTGAAGGGGGATTGGATGTTGAGACGGCGCAAGCGAGGTTTGTTGGGTGTTCACTTGAGGAGGCGGTGCGAAGTCATGCTGTTGTTTTTGCGGCTGAAGAGGCGAGGAGGGAAGAGAAGGTTGTTAAGTGGGAGAGCTGGTGGGGGGAGAAGTTGAGGGTTTCGGCTGCTGCGTGGAAGGCATAATTATATGAAGGGTTTGACGATTTACGATTCTATGATGCTACGATTATATGATATCTCATGTTTACGTCCCCGGTCGAGATCTGGCAGCATAGGAGGCAATAATGCATATATTCCATTAGCTTCACAGATCTGGAGAGTTTGAATTTAAGGCAAGACAGGCTCGGATTATGATAAAGATGCAGTTTCTACCTCATGCCAACGTATAATCTCTTAATCTTGATCCTGCTTTTCGATCATTCTTCTCGCGTTCAGATAGAACTGCAAACAATTAAAAGGTGATCCCCATCCAGCAGGTTCCACATTAACCCTAACAACCTAGCCAGACTTAGGTCTTAACGTCAGGCTCCTCGCGGCCAATATACTCCTTGAACTTAAGCAGAGAGAGGGCCAGCGAAATGTTATCAGCCAGGTACTCCTGAGCACTTAGACCGAACTTGGACTTGTCAGCCTCGTAGCGCTCAACATACAGACGGATAGTAGCACCACTGCTGCCGGTGCCAGACAGACGAACGACGATGCGGCTGCCGTCATCGAACTTGGCGTACAGGCCCTGGTTCTTGGCGACGCTGCCATCGAGGTCAGTGTAGGAGAAGTTGCCAGCGTCGGTGACCTTGCGGCCGGCGATTTCAGAGCCAACGAATGTGTCGCGGTTAGCGACCAGGTCGGACAGAGTACCGACGACCTTGTTGGCGCCCTCGCTGTCGACGTTCTCGAAGTCATAGCGGGTGAAGAAGGTGCGGCCGTAGGTCTGCCAGAACTCGTTCTGGATGGAGCCAATGCTGGGGGTCTCGCTGGGCTTTTGCTTGGCGACACCGGCAATGATGTTCAACCACGCTACGATAGCCCACACGCCGTCTTTCTCGCGGATGTGGTTGCTGCCCGTGCCGAAGCTCTCCTCACCACAAATCGACATCTTCTTCTCGTCGAACAGGTTGCAGAAGAACTTCCAGCCGGTGGGCACTTCGTAGCTCTGCAGGCCTTGGGCTGTAGCTACGCGGTCTACGGCTCCGGAAGTGGGCATTGAGCGGGCCAGACCGTATACACCCTGCTTCTGGAAGTAGGGGATGAGTTTGGCGTGGTGGGCGATGATGGCCAAGCTGTCACCGGGGGAGACAAAACTGTTGGCACCGTAGATCATGTTACGGTCACCGTCACCATCACTGGCGGCACCGAAGTGAACGCCGTTGGCGTTGACAGCCTCGACGAGCTCATGGGCGTACACGAGATTGGGGTCAGGGTGACCGCCGCCAAAGTCCGGCTTGGGCTGGCAGTTCATTGTGCTGCTGACGGGCAGACCAAGCTCCTTGACGAAGATATCCACGCCGTAGGGCCCGGTCACACCGTGCATGCCGTCGAACAGGACCTTGAAGTCCTTGTGGGAGCTAAGGAACTCCTTGATCAGATTGAAATCGAAGATCTCCTTCATCATAGTCACGTAGTCGGCAGTAGAGTGAACGATCTCAACCTCAAGGGGGCCGTAGTTCTTGATGCCGATGGTGGAGGTATCGACTTCGGGAACATCGAGGTATTTGTAGGAGGTGAGGGTCTTCGAGGTCTCGAAGATCTTGTTGGTAATGCCCTCGGGGGCGGGCGCACCGTTGCCCAAGTTGTACTTGATACCAAAGTCGTTTTCGGGGCCTGAGGGTATTTGATCAGTCTCCAATAGATAGATGTTGTTGGACCCCAAATCATCACTTACCACCGGGGTTGTGGCTGGCAGTCAAGAGGATACCACCAGTTGCCTTCCTCACGCGAATGAGGTTGCTAGCAGCCGGGGTGCTCATAATGCCATGCTGTCCAACCAAGAGCTTCTTCACGCCATAGGCGGCACTGATCTTTGCGATCTTGGAGATGACCTCGGGGTTGTAGTAACGGCCATCGCCACCAATGACAAGGAAAGAACCCTCAACACCCTCAGGGATCGACAGAAGAATACTAGTAATGAAGGATTCAGAGTAGTTTTCCTGCTGGAAGACCTTGACCTTCTTGCGAAGGCCGGAACTGGGAGCAAGTTAGCTAGTAGTTCAATTGCGGGGCAATGAGAAGCGTAAGCGTACGTTCCAGGCTTCTGGTCAGTGAAGGGTTGGATGGAGACTGTCTGGACAGACATGATGGAATAAGATTGGAGGCAAAGATGTAGTAAGGAGAAGAGAAGAAGAGGGGGGGAGAAGTTCGAGAAGCTCACCGACTTGTTGAGCTCCACGGGGGGGGGGGCAACGTTTGGCGTCATGTGTTTATCATCCCACTAGCTAGTACTCTTATAGTACTTTGCCACAACGTTTTAATAAAAATTTAAATAAGTCTGTGCTCCCGTACAGCTCAATGGCTCTCTGATTCGTTCTACTCAGTCCAATCCACAAGTCATCTGTCAAGGTACCCTTCCAAATTGCCCCTCCGCAGATCATTCCCGTGGGGGGAATCAGAATACTTCGTCTTGTACAACAACATTCTTCCGAAGTACATTGTGCATGCGCGGAGTGTACATTGTATGGTATATTCTCACCTTAGGGAGAGACAGTTGAAAACAATTTCGACGTGCAGAGTTTTAAAATAGCTCCCAGACCCATGTCTCAGAGTAACAGAGACAAGCAAGCCACCAAATCAGCCACATCACCCAAACAGCTTCTCCTTGTAAAACCGGATTTCCTCGATACTTTCAAGAATATCATCCCTAGCAAGATGAACCTCCCGCTTAGGCGGGACCTGCTCAAGCAGTCGATCACTCCCCCACCTCCGCGCTGCCTCCTTCAACGAACTAACATCCAGAATGCGATAATGCAGATGATCCAGCACCTGCGCGTACGGCGCACAAGCAAGGAAAGCCTTATCGGCGTGAACACTATTTCCTGCGAGCAGGGCAGTACGCGGGACTGGGACATGCTGGCGGATGTAGGCGAGGAGAGAGTCTGCGGCGGTGGAGGGGGAGGTGGTCGAGGCGCGCACAGCGGCGGTGAGGCCCGTGCGGCCGTGTGTGTCGATGCACCACTGCGACATCGCGTCGAGGGTAGAGTCTGGGACATGGATGACTGTTTCGAAGCCGGTCGGTTCGAGGAGGTTTAGCTGGGCATCCGTGATGAAACAGCAGATCTGGAGGATCTTGTCGGTTTCCGGGTTCAGGCCCGTCATCTTGTGGATGGGAGCGGTTAGTGGTGCGGAATTGCGGAATTTGTGGGAGGTTTTGGATCGGAGATGGAGTATTTAGACGTACCTCGCAGTCAATCCAGACCAAAGGGTCTGTTGAGCGTTCGAGTGGCATCGTGGATTTGTGGATGGGGGCTATTCTGGGCTATCGAAGCTGTTAATGATCTGAGGTTGAATTGGAGCTTGGCAGGATCTCTCACTTGGTGGAGAAAGCCGGGCTGGGCCAGAACACTGCGTAATGCAGATGCAGGTAGAAAGATACTTCTGAGCATGGATGAATACTTGAGGAGTTTAAAATATGTATATTTGTTTCAGCTATGCCTAGGTAGCCTTCAGGGTCTAGAAGCTTATCGGGTTTTAAGCTGTTTCAGCCGATGCTTCGCAAACGCGGACAACGCGAATCTTTGGAATGTAGTCTACGATGTATTCAATTACTTCTCTCCACCTATAACGCGTATTTGGGGACTTAAAATCGTGATAAAGCTGCCCTGATCGGTGCAGCAAATGTATTTCTCCTGCAACATGTTCCCTTTATTGTAGGTAGTGGACATAACGGCGTAATGGTAGAAAAGCAATATGACCATGCAGATGACCCGGTAAATGGCGATGAGATCCCACCAGCTCGCAAAATCCTAATTTATCCCCGGGATCACAGCAAAAATGACCAGTGCTTTCCGAAGCGAAGAGTAGTAGCCTGTCAGGCCCAAACGAGATCTCGAGATCAGACCAACCAGAATATTTTCGACGATCGCAGGCTTACAGCTCCTCGTCATTTTCTGGAGGTCCGGCAGAAAGATCGGGTGCAAGACTGAAGCCGTCTGCGAAGATCTTCGGACTGGTCAAAGTTGATTCCGTTGGAGCAGAAGAGCCCAGAACTTCATTGATTCTACCAGACGATTCTGCGATCCGGCGTCTAAGGGCATTCTCATCTGCAGTCGAGACACTCGCCCGCTGTTTCTTCAGTGGACTACCAAAAAGGCCATCTTCTGGTTCGGCAGCTGGCTGAGACGGCTCGGAGAGCCCACCTGCAGATCCAGTTGCGGCAGCCTTCGGCGGTGTTGTCGAGCGCTCATTTGCAGGAGGTGTGGATCCAGATCCAGAAGCCGGGGTATCAATCGAGTCACCGACACTGCCCCCAGGTGGTTCAGCGGAGTGCTGACGCTTGAGCTGTGGAATTGTTAACAATGAACTCATAGAATGTCAGAATTGTACCTACTCGAATCTTCCGCAGGCTCTCCGCCAGCTCTCCTTGGCGTTGAATGTCATCGGGAGACAAGAACCGATCGTCATCCTTGGCTTCGTCGTCGTCTGCCTTGCCAAGTATGGGGTTGTCGGTGTCGTCGTCATCGCTATCCATGTCATCGACGCTCTTCTTGCCCTTCCGCGGCTTGGCTTCGTTCTCCCGGAAATTAAGGAATCCAACAGAGCCCCCAGGCTTGATAGGGCCGAGGTTTGCAAAATCAGCTTGTATAGACTTGCGCTTGGTGGCAGCAGGAGTCTCTTGCACCTTGGGATCTTTCAAGATACCCATCTTCTGCAATTGACCTATGTTCATTTAATTAGAAATGACTCCCATCAGCAATGATCCGGAGAATACTCACGTTCACCACGGTACATGAAAGTGAAGACAGCGTATGGTTTATCACTTGGGTCAATACCAGTAACAGTCTGCGTACTAATGGTCTTCGGGTCGAGGGACTTAGGCTTGGCGAAGCTTGTGGTATGATCAACATCGGCGTCTCCGCCACTATTATCCTGGCCACCCTCCTCATCGTCGTGCGCATCAAACTGCGGGGAGTACTCGCCCCGCTTGATTTCTCCAGATGCCAAAACTCGGAACAAAGCAACCTTAATCTGGCCCGCTGTTTCGGGGATTGGATCGTCGTCATCAGAGTCGGAGGACAGGTCGTCGTCTGAAACATCCTCGAGGGGCGACTTCTCGTCATTTCCGTATCGCATAATGGTCTTGGACTTGGCAGGATGGTTGTCCTCCATTTCCATAGCAGTCGGATCCTCCTCAGCGGCGCGCTTTGCACGTCGTTTCTCCATCTTCTGTCGCCTGCGTTCAATCTTGGCTGCGGCATCCTTGCCTTCCAGGTCCAATCCGTTGAGCCAGCGCTCCAGACCGACCTCGCGGAACAAGAATTCCCGTTCGGCAATTCCCCCGCCTTCGCTTTCCGGAATGCTGACCCAGCGTGAATTCACCCATGTCTCTTCTCCTCGTCGCAATAGTGTAGCCACTTCCTCCTTCTGTCTTCCGTCAAAGTAGATGTATGCTGCCACTGTCTCGTTCGGCGAGTTCGTCAAGCCCTGGTATGGTGCGACCGTCCCGGCGGTTTGACCTGGCTCACCGGGCAATTTGCCGACCACTTTTGGTTTCGGCGAGGGGCAATCTGCCGTCGGCTTTGGGGTCGAGTACGGAACATCTTGCTCAGGGTTTAGGAGGGTGACGGAAATGGCGAAGGTTGATTGTTCCGCTTTGCCGGTCCCAGATTCGGGAATTTTGGGCGGAGGAACCGGAATGAAGCAACCTATGCGCGAAGCTCGAGAATGTCGTTGAATGGAATATTCGGAGATCGGGCCATCCGGCGTGTGGATGCTCACGGCAAGCCCTTTGAAGCAGGGCATGGTGGGAAAGGGTAAGTGGGATATGGATGTTGCACTGTGGGGAGAAGAGTCCAACGAAGACGCAGGGCAGATCTGCCCCGCAACTAAGAGAAATACTTCGGGCAAAAACACAGGGAAAGTGACGCCAAATTCAGGATAGGCGAACTTCTTTCTTAGGTTTTCCCCCTGTGGGTGTTGAAAGAATAAGCTATAGGTGGGGAGGCGGTCAACGTAGTGGGTTTCGACTCAACCAGCAGCCCGCAGCAGTTCCTTGAGCTCCGCTGCAGCTGCTGGTGTGTTTGTTTCTGGTTTTCAAAAAGGAGGGTCACGATGACGGGGGGCTCCTAGATTTCCTTAGGATTGGGCCTAAACACACCACACTGAGGTTCTTGGGCTCAAGTAGGCACACACAACCTCGAAATGCTAACAGAAGGAATGAAAGTGAGAAAAGTAGACCCGAGCTCTCTCAAGGAAAAGGTGAGGGGCGGAAGTGGACCAAAACATCACCGCCGCCATCCCCCCCGAACTCCCACGTGATACACCCTATCAAGCCTATAGTAGCCTCCAGCATTTCTACATTTATAGTCATTTGTGCTTTATCCCATGACTTTACCTGGTGAGATATTCATCATTTGGAGCTCTTTATCCCCCCAAAAAATCCCAATCATACCAATCATATCAACGTTGAACTTGTCCTGATCATATCTCCACATCAGGTGACCCCTCAGCAACCATGGATTCGCGAAACCTTGTGGAGTACACTTCCCTTACTTTGGATGTTCGTCTCTATAGATCCATCCCGCTATTATAGTGAGGTACCCCGAGAAATCGATTTATCTCTTCTGATATCTAAAGAAAAGTGCAATTTCGTGATAAATTTCATTATTTGCAAAATTCATAGTCCATCATTCGCCATTTAAATCTCAAAAATAAAAACCAGAGCCAAATTCCAGTGAGCCGTTCCAACACGGGAAACAAAGCCGCAATCGGGACCTAAATATCAGAGCCATGTTGACCAGACTGATCTACGACTTCACATGGTCAGAGAGAACAGTCTCTTTCTGCGAGACAGCAACATCATCGTTACCACTCGCAAGATGGTCAAAGTGGTAAAGAGGCTCGAGCTCAACATTCTGGCGGAAAATGTAGCGCTTGAACCAGTATGGCAACGCCTTCGTGACTTGATACTTCATGTGGACCCGAGTAGGGACTGCGAAGATATAATCCAGCTCTTCAAGGGTGCGCTGCTTGGTTTCGGGCACCCAGAGGAAAATCATGACCAGTGCAGTCACGTTCAGGCCACTGCATCCAATTGTCAGGGATTTTCATAAGAAACTCGTAATATCGGTAGAAATACTCACGCATAAAAGCCGAATGCCCCAGTGGCAGTCATTACACTCAACATTTTGGGGAACGTGATTGAAAGCACGGCAGCCCAACCTAGGCAGGTGGCCACGGCCCAGGACATTCCAACCTCTAATCTCAATGTTAGTTCTAGAAACTATACAAGGGAAAAGAGGAGACTGCAAATGAAAAACATACCACGATGGGAAAGAGGGAATACCTCCGCCGAATAAGTGAACGGCACGGGTCCTTCACCAGGCGAGTAGAATGCGGCGAATAGGAAGACAAAGAACGCGATCGAAGCCAGGTGAGCGGTACCCGCGGGAGACCAGAAGCAGAAAGCAGCGCCAAGCAGAGTCCATGCCATCTGCGGGAAAGTGAACAACAATAGAGTCCGACGGCCATATGTATCGATGGTCCAGATAGCAGGGAAGGCAAACACGAAGTTGACCAAGCCGAATCCCCAGGAAGCAAACAAAGCTTGTGTGTCACTTGCGCCGGCGTCCTTGAAGACAGTTGACGAGTAAAATGCTACGATGTTAATACCGCACATCTGCTGGCCGATCATGACAACGAACGAAGCAAGAGTGGCACGGCGGACGCGAGGAATAGTGAAGAGCTCAACGAAGCGAGTGACGTAGTTACTCTTGCCGACTAGCTCCATCTCAATCTTGAGCTGGGCATGGATGTAGTAAAGGTCGCGAGCAGCCTGCAAAGGCGTGTTACGGAGACGGCACAGAGCCTTGTATGCCTTGTTCATCTCGCCCCGTCGAATGTACCAGCGAGGTGACTCTGGGCAGAAGTAAACACCGAATAGGAGAGGGACAGCCGGAATAAAGGCCGATCCCAGCTGTAGACGCCAAGATATTTTACCTGTATCCTTGACAGCAAGGTTGGCACTAAATCCGAGGAAAATGCCAAAAGCGGTCCAGAGCTGCCAGGACATGACCAGACCACCGCGGATAACAGCAGGAGTATTCTCAGCGCAAAAGATCGGAATTGTCGAAGCCTTCAGACCCATTCCAATACCCATGAGGAGGCGGGCCACAAACAACTGTTCCCAGTTCTGGCTCACTGCGGAGCCAATGGGAGTAAGGACGCAAAAGATAGCCGAGATGAAGATCGTACCACGACGGCCCAGAATCCGATTAATTGGGTCCGAGAGCCAGCATCCAAGACAAGCACTAGCGATGTAGGGAGCAGCATTGACGATGCCTACGATCCACAGGTTCCGATCGGCGTGAGGGCTCTTTGTGGGATCTTCGGAAATACCAAAAGCATCGGGGAATGACAGGTTAGCACCATTCGAGCCAGTCTGATCCCATCCTCTGTATTGATGTTAGGTATGTACTGAAGACATGCTGGGGGAATCACATACTGCACGGCCGCACCAATAGAGCACAGCATAATAGTGAAGTAGAGTGCTTTAGGCTGCCGCCATTTGTGAAGTACTTCGTCATGTAGGGCAGTGAGCTCCGGCTCGGTCAAGTCTGGCACTGTCTCGAACTCGGTAGGGTCACGCGCAACTAGCGCTCCTTTCTTCAACTCGGGTAGGATATCTGTGACGTTGTACTTCTCAGCAAACTCCTCCACGTCGCGGAGCACCTGGTTCTTGGTCAAGTCGGCTAGAGGGTTCTTGATCCTGGTTGGTGTTAGTGCACTGAGAGGAAAGGGAAATATATGACCGGAGAGTTGAATGAGTGAAGTTTACCTGCCAGACACATTATTGTGAAGGTCAACTTGCTCAACGTATCCCTTCTCGGCGCTGTTTTGATCATTGCTGGAACTATATGGAATTGAGATGAGCATTGGAAACTGCGCAAGGAAGATGCAAATCTTACCGCTGGTCAGAGCCGGCCTGTGTGATGGCCTCCTGAGCCATTTCTGGTCAAGCTGTTGATAGCGGCCAATAAAGAAACCAGGCTGAGGTGATGTCTGATGGTGCGAGGGAAAGAAGAAGACAAAGGTTGATGGGGAAGAAGAGTTGGAAGACCAATCAACAGCCTCAGTTGCCGCAGTCCACGGGTACCTCGTTTGATAGTGAGAATTCAGAGACAAACAATTGAATGGTAGGTCCATATGTACAGATTGACCTTGGGGGGAGGGGCACCTTTTTATGTTCTAATCTTTCCCCAGGCCAGTCTGGTTGACAAGGACAATCCCATTGGCTTAGAATAAAAGATGTCAAGGCCTCCAAGCCAAAGAGCCTGCCTTTTCCAAGGTCATGACTTCCAAGACTGATCTACTTCCCGAAACGGAAGGAATCTGGGGCCCGCGAATCATGGGGAAACCCACCAGGAGATACTTTTTCCCCACTCCGCTAAACCTTCGTTTAGTGGAAAGTGGCCCCGGCAAAATACTACATTAACAGTGTTTGCTACCTTGCCTAATGCCAAGTACTAGAAGTATGAAGACTCTTGGCCCAAGCACACCTACATGCGTCTGGGCAACCTCCAGGACTTCCGATCTCGACCGGGAACCCTGCCCAGATTCAAATCCGATGTGGAAGTACGTCTTCTCCTGTTAAGCCTCAGATTTATCCTTTCTAATTATGCGGTCCTTGTCTCCATGTTATGCAATCAAATCTAAAGACCCCTCAGATTCAGATATGGAAAGTAGTTCTCGAAGGCTTAGGACCGCCGCTCTTGGCATTAGCATCTCTGGGCGGGCGCCACATTTGTCGACCAAAGCCACCAGGATTGTGGTCGTCGCCCCTTGGCAGGGACCATAATTTTGATTGGTGAAGGGAAGTTAGGCTGATGGTAAAGGCCAGTCAATTCACTCGCGCTAAATTAGGCTTAACTCATGGTGATCCCTGCCCACCAGGCTTGTTTCCGGCGATTTCACAAGGCTCAGAGGCTTAGGCCAAGATATTTGCCTCTTAGAACCACATTGAGCGAGACCTAAATCCTTTTGATTCTAGGATATATAGGAAAGAGGAACATCTGAAATTGGACGCTTTTCCGAATTCAGTCAAAGGGGAAAAAAGTGGAAATCCGGGGCAAACTGCGGAGAGATGACATCTATTTGTTTTAGGTCTCATGCTAGTCCAGCCGTACTCCGGAATAGGACAAAGTCGACTCGGGGTTGAATTACCCTCGGAGTCCAAATAAAAAGGGTTTCCATTACAAGGATACTCAATCCCGATCTTTGCGGGTTGAATTAAGCCGGTCCCAAGCTGTGTGCCCCGTAAGCGTGATTTACCGTGCGCTTTTCTCTTGGCAGAATAGGCGATACGTTAGACCAAGTAAACCCCAGACCCAGCAACTATTCCATTATCTTGAGTCAAACCTCCAGAAAACCAACCTTGTTTCTCGGAACGTGGCGTGGGCCAAGTGCTGATCCGACTAAACCGGCACATTGAAAGATGATCGCATCACTCAATCTCAGAAAGCGGTGGCCGTCTCCGGCGACATATGGTCGCTTGAGCGGGCCGTGTCTGGAGGTTGCAACCCGAGGGTGCTCGTGGCTGGCCATGTGGGGATCGACAACGTTCTACCCCAATCTGTCCATCCCTTCGGAAAGATAGAGATTTTGGAAATGTTTCTGTAGCCTCTCAATGCCCCATGCGAGTCATGACAACAACTTGCGGCAAATACTGAGATCACATCCTTCGAGTTGGTTCCTTTTGCGGTATTTTCGGCTGGCCCTGCGCTTTTTAAAGTAGTATGTATTTGACGTGTCAGATGTAGAGTGCCCCTTGTATATTAGGTTACTCTATGAGCCAATCCCTAATAAACTGGCTCTTAGTGAGAAGAATAGCATGGTAGCATTGCCGATCAAGCGTCTAACCGTCTAATCCTGGTATGTATGTACCATATGCCATGCCAGAACCCGGCCAATGCTACTCCATATCGAAGAGCATCTGCTCTTCCAGAAAGGATCTCCCATCCGGGTGCCTGCACACCTTACCATGCGGTGACTCTTAAACTGCCTAACAAACCACATGGTCAATGCATCCTTGGGAGAGTACCGTCTTTGTGTCCTGCTGCAAGGGGCAAAGCATATATATAAATAAGTTTACCATTGTATTCCATTCTTTCTCATCTACAGTGCTCGCACGCTTATGAATTATGAGATGTTGTACCGATTTCGCTTCAGACAGGGAAATGGCTTCGAATGTGGAAGGACGTGTAAGTTAAGAATTTCATAAGTGACAGAGCCGGCACACTCCTTTAATCAAAGCCCCAGGCGGAAATTGCTTTTTCTTGATGGTAGTGTTGCCTTGGGCAAAACAAAGAGAACGACAATGACATTTTCCCCCTGTGTATATGCTGTAGGGGATAAAAGCGTATTCAATGAGGGCTAAAGATGGATCTCATTATCGTTGCTTTTGGAGTGTCCTCTTCGATGGACCGGCCAGAACCCGCAGCAACCGAAATGTCTCAAGAATGACCTCCAGCTGATCCGCTATAGCAAAGTTGGCAATCGTGCCCGTGCATGTGTATAAGCTCTTGGCAATTGAAGCAAGGGCCATCATTTTCCAGGTAGGAACAATCCACTTCAGCCAATCATCTTTATTTGTAGTTTTTTACCGGCGCCTTCCTCCCTTCATTATAGCGACGATTTCGCCTAGCGTATCCGGGAAGTGATCAGGAACAGCCCTGCACCTATCTGGGAGATTTCATAGAATTTTCCATCTGCCTCAAAGATTAGTTCTCCCACCTGGGGGTCGCACATAATCGGGGTGCATTTCCCAAGCCCATGATCAGCAGCGAGTTGATACCCCCAGGTATCTGGTGTCGCCCATTCGCCCTCGTAGTCAAGCTCTTCTGGGTCCGTTGTCCATCCTGGTGGAGGGGCCACCTAAGAGTTTTTATTAGCATTGTGTTGCATACACACGAGGTAATCATGTACCTGTTTCAGATCTTAGGCTTACAGTATTTTCACTTGTCATGGCAACTCGTCTTTGTTCCCGAATAATTTGAGGATATAAGGTGCAGCTTTGGATCTGGAGTCAACTGGATGTGGAACGCGGAGTATGTGGGAATTGGAGTGGATTATGATGTGGCAAAGGGACCCAGGTACCCGTCCATCCACTCAAATTACGATTCCACCATGGTCCATGGATGTTTTAAGATGCCTTTTTAGGATAAGTCGCAAACTAAGAATTTGGTCATCAGTTGGCTGTGGTAACTGGGTCCTCCAAGCATATATTTTCAGGCCTTGAGGCTGCCATCCTACTTTGGTAACACAGCAGATTTGACTTCCATTTTGGCCGTGAAATGTTCTATCTACCTTGGTATGGCGTATGCTGCTCTACCTATACGTAGGTAGTTCCAAAGTACGATCGAAGCCAAATGAATATTTGATACAATAGAGTACTTCGGCTGGTATTCAGTCAAGCTGATGTGAGATGACGGCATCTTACCTTGAGGGATTGCCCACCTGGGCAGGTGCTGGGAGCTGACAAATAAGCACATCTGGGCATACTGAAGCTTCTTATACTTACTTGCATCCTGCCATTATTCCTGATGTTCTCTCGCTCACTGACTGTATCAAGACTATCTCAACTCTCATCAAAATTTCACCCATATTCCACCATGTCTTCAAACATTACCCTGTACAGCTGGCCCACGCCGAATGGTATCAAAGCCTCCATCACCCTCGAGGAGCTTGGTCTGCCTTATAAAGCTGAAGGCCTTGACATCTCCTCCAGCTCGAATCCCCAAAAGGAAGAGTACAATCCTTCCCACCACACAGCACGGCATGTGACAACATACTGATGGAAAGCATTGAACAGATGGTTCCTGAAGATCAATCCCAATGGCCGCATCCCCGCGTTACTTGATGGCTCGCAACGCGTTTTCGAGAGCGGAGCAATCATGACGTATCTAGTCGACAAGTACGACACCGACCGCAAGATCAGTTACGCCCCTGGCACCCCTGAGCATGCCGAGCAAACCTCCTGGTTAATGTTCCAGATGGCTGGACTCGGGCCCATTCAAGGTACACGCAGATAATCTACCTCGCACGTGTGCTTCAAACACCTCTAATACCCCAACAGGACAAGCGAACCATTTCCGTCTCTTCGCCGACACGCGCTCCGATTACGCTATTAAACGGTTTATCAACGAGACAAGGCGTCTCTACTCAGTCCTCGAGTCGCGGTTGAAGGAAACCCCTTACCTCGCGGGTGAGAAGTATACTATTGCCGACATTGCGAGTTTCTCTTGGGTTCGCGGTTCTCCTATTTCCTTGGAGATTGATCTGTCTGAGTTCCCCGTTCTGAAAAAGTGGGTCGAGGATATTGATAAGCGTCCTGCTGTTCAAAGGGGGTTGGATGTTCCTCATTCGACTTGGACTCCTGAGCAGAAGGCTGAATTTTTCCGGAATTGCCGGGCCAAGATTGATGCCATGACTACTTCCGATCAGCATTGATTCATGGTAGTATCTTCCGTCTCTGGTGACAGTGCCGGAAATAAATAGTACAGAAGAACAACTCAAGGTCCTTGCAACAATATCATAAGGTTCAGGCTTGCATCCGGGAGTGATCCTATGTCAAATGTCTGAATTATCTGCATCGATACCTGTAGGGACCAGAGCTAAGCTCCTCACAATAAACAAAGAGGCAATGGCGATTGAATACTCAAAGCTCTCCAGGTCTGTAGCTTCGCCAGGTCTTGAAACCAACCTGCTCATACCACCCATCGAGTGCAACCCAGTCTACAAAGACGCCTTCAATGCCTCGTTGCTTCATGTCTTCAATAGCATGACAGATCAATGCCAACCCAATACCGGACTTGCGGTGGGACTCGTCAATTCCCACGGCACCGATCAGCCCTGTGTTCGGACCACAGGTTTGAGGGAATGCCCAAGACTTGTTTAGAGCATCTGATGGACCGAGCATTAATGTCCAGCCAACCTGCTGGCCTTGGGAGTCGAATGCTGTCATCACACTGTCGGGATACTTGTCGGGATGTAATGCGACATATGCCTCCACCCAGCTCTTTATAGCACATTAGCATAGATTCTAACAAATTACAAGCGTGAGGACAGCACAGGAGTCAGTCTTACCCGATTTTTAGAGAAGTTTCTTCTTTGACCAACTAGACAGGCCTCGTAATCTTCGGATTTTAGTGGCGCGAAGCGGAAGCCCCGCTCCCGGGCACGAGTGATATACTTCTCTGGAGACTGGAAGTTCCGAATATCTTGGTACAAATCAACCGATCGGGCACTCGGAGGACTGAGTCGGAAACCACGGTGAGTGAAGAAATGTTGCACTGTTTCTGGAAGGTCCTGGGGTACACCGGGCCAAAAGCGGGGGAATGAGCTGCCCAGCTTCACATTGTTGAAGCCAAAGCTTGCCCGGAAGTATGCTCTCGTTTCTTCTAACAAGGCAATTCCAATGCCTTGGTGTTGGTACCTTGGTGACACGGCAACGACTGCGATGTACGCGGTGTTTGGTGCATCGTGGGCATCTGTGTAAGCAAGGCAGAAGCCTACTACCTGCGAACCAATGCGCGCGATGAAATGGTGGCCATGGGGGCGTACTATCAGATACCGCAGACTTTCGGTAGGGACGAGGTAGGTTGGGAGAGCAGCCGCCCAAACTTCGACCACTTCATCCAGATCTCTTTGTGCGTCAAATGGTATTACTACCGCGGATGTCTTTGTCAAAGCATTAGTTCCCACGGGAAGAGCGCCTGTCGGGATTAGTGCTCCGAACATGATATCGGCAGCCACAGAAAATGCCTCAATAGTCGGCTCGTATGTGGTAATATAAGTCTTAACACTAGGAGCATCAAGAAAGTCATAGGGGTTGCAGGCAGCAATATGCACCAATGAATGAACACGTTCAGCAAGTTTCAGGCCTAGCGACTCCTGATATGGCGACTCTTTTGCATTGAGTGAAGTGAAAATCACCACATCGGCAACTTCGAGGGATCGCCATTGCTCCGAAGTAAGACCAGTCGCTCCGTATCTTAGCTCAGCAATGGAATTGTTGTGCTGTCGCAGCACATCAAGGTATTTGTTGGACTGATATAATCCTGATCTCCCAGTTCCTTCGCCGTCAACAGCACCGCCGACTGGGGTCTTGTCTCCGGGGAAGAGGAAGATAATGATTGAAGTTCTTGACAGGGGGAGAACACCATTTTTGTCACGAACGAGTGTGGTCGATCGAGAATATATATCCATAGTCGTCTCGGCAATTCTATTGTTGAGCGAGCTCAAGTCTGCGAGACTGGATTGCCGAAGAGCGGCGTCCCAGTTCAAAAACTTGTCCTTCACCGTAGCAACATGGCGACAAGCGTCCGCCAGTCGTACTTGATCGATTGTGCCGGACTTTATTGCTTCACAAACTCTCTTGATCGAAGCCACCTGCACATCAAAGGTATGACAGATCATGATGCTATCGCTACCAGCGCGCAACGCTAGCACCGAGCCTTCCTCTGTGCCGTATGTGGAGCGGATTCCATCCATCTCCAGACAGTCTGTGATTACCATACCATCATAGGCCATGTCCTTGCGCAAAATTCCCATAACATCAGGAGAAAGTGTAGCGGGCCGCGTGAGATCGATGCAGGGCAGCGAGATATGAGCAGTCATGACGGTCTCGATGCCTTCAGCGACAGCCCGCCTAAACGGAATCAACTCACAACGCTCCAGCTGATCCCTTGTCTTCGGAATGACCGGTAGTCCATAATGTGAGTCAACAGCTGTGTCACCATGGCCTGGAAAATGCTTTACACTGGGGATGATGTTTTGTTCCCGCAGACCCCGCGCAGCCGCACTCGCAAACCGGCCCACGAATTCAGGGTCATCGCCAGGGCTGCGTACACCAATAACAGGATTTAGAGGCTCCGAGTTGATATCGCACACTGGTGCATAGTTCATGTTAATCCCGAAGAAACTGAGAGTTTCCCCCGTGGCTTTCCCCGCACTGTAGGCGTACTCCGGGTCATGCGTGGCGCCGAGTGCCATAGGGCCTGGTACCTGAGCAGCGATCGGGGGAGAAATTCGAGTGACCAGTCCATTCTCCTGGTCAATTCCGATCAAGAGTGGTCGCTCATGTCCAGCTAATTTGGCTTCATTCTGTAAAGCTAGTGTCAAGGCCTAGAGAAGATCAGTCAAGCCAGCTAAGGACGATACAGCCTCGGATATCGCACCTGAAGCTGTTCTGCATTCTCAAAATTGCGCGAGAAGAGGACGATGCCTCCAACGTGGTAGTCATGGATCAAAGTCTTGATTTCGGGACTTGGAGTGCAGCCATGAAACCCCACCGCGAAGAGCTGCGATCGTCAGTGAGATTCACAAAAGAGGGGTTTCAGAGTTAATGTACCTGGCCAACCTGTTTTCGAAGATCTGAGGAAGCCATGCCTGTTGATTCAAATGTTCTTATTTGACGCATTCATGGATTGCAAATGGTTCGGGGTGACGTTGCAAAGGATCGGAGTTGATCTGCCCGGGTCCACTTGCTCAGGTGCAACATTGCGCTTATACGAACAGTCTTGGGGATATTTCAAGTTAACCTCTTAGGATCTAGCGAAAAAGGTGCCAATATTTGAAATAAATAAAAGATAAGGCAACTGCGATGCGGGGTAAACCTTCATATGAGACAAAAGAAACCGGAACATATATATCTTGTCCAACCCTTACACTTTCAACATGGCTGAGATTCATGAAAGTGATGAGACCGACACGGTTAAGCTGACCACCTCACGACCACATCCCACCTTAGAGGAGTATGAACGGCTCTTCGGCGTCGACGAGGACGCGTATGAGCAGCCAACCACCACTAGGAAAGAACTTTGGTCCTATTACCTCTATTACAATGGCGATAACGGTGTCGGCCCGGGATCGTACAGTCAAGCTCTGTATGTACAATGGAAACACTGGAATTCCCCGACTAATCCGCGAAGCTTCCAGTGGGCCTTGAATGGCGCCGGACATCAACCTGGCTCGAATCCACCTAAAGCCTGCACCGATTCATCGGCCTGTGTAGTGCCGTGGGCGGGAGGCACAAGATCGGTATCTTCAGTGGTTCTTATCGCCAACGGCCTTTGCTTTACTTTTATGACGGTGATATTCGTCTGGTTAGGGAGTGCTGCAGATTATGGAACATTCGGCCGATGGCTTCTTCTGGCATTGACGGTGGTATGCTGGGCACTGCAGTATGGTATGATGTCCATCCGGCATCCGAGCCAGTGGCCAGCGGCGATGGGATTGTACGTGGTGGCATACGTTGCCTACGGCGCAACGCTGGTATTCTACGCTGCCGTATTCCCCCGTCTGGCACGGTATACACGGCATGTGCGCAAAGCGAGAGAAGGGGATCTCAGAGAGGGTAAGATTGACCAGGAGGAATACGATACTATTGAATCACTGGAGAGGAATCATATCAGGTGAGTTGGGGCATTCTGAGCTGCTATTTAAGATATCGCTGACAATAGTAGCAATATTTCGACTGCACACAGCAACATTGGGTACCTACTCACGCTCGTACTTAATCTGAGCGTTCTACTTCCACTCCAAAATAACAGTTTCTCGAATAACTTGGCACTCTGTCTTACCAACTCCTGTAAGTTTTCTGCGTAATCCATAAAGAGTTGAACTATCTGACCTTCTACAGATTGGGTCGTCCTTGGCATCTGGTGGTTTATTTTCCAGCAAAGAAGACCAGGTCCGAAGATACCAAAAGGGTCAAGCTATACCACCATTGGATTCAAGCAGATCTGGCTGGCCATTCGAGAAATTAGGTCTCTACCACAGACATTTCTGTACTTTTTTGCCTATTTCCTTCTTGCCGATGGCCTTAATACTACCGGTGGGTTCTTTCTTACTTGCTTTCTGCAAATGAGACTTGTTACACCCATGAAGACAAGAGAATCCACTAACATGGACGGATCAATAGGTACTCTCGTTAGCATCATCCAAAACGACTCTGTTTCATTTTCTTTCTTGCAGATTACATATCTCGGCATTACCCAAGCTGCCTGCTCGATCACCTCAACATTCGGCTTTTGGTATATACAACGGTACTTCAAATTTAAGACGAAGACCATGTTCTTGTTCACAAATTTCTTCAGCGTTTTAATCCCCTTTTGGGGCATGCTGGGACTATGGACCAATCGCATCGGGTATCACAATAGGGTGTGTGTCAGACCCAAACTGGGAGTTTACAGCTAACAGCCATGGAGTGGGAGTTTTACTTCTACAATGTCATCTTTGGACTTTTCCAGGCTCCATACTATGCGGTAGGTGGGACTTTGAATAGTCTCCAATAATCCCTGCCTCTATGGTTTCTAACATCATGCCAGTACGCTCAAACGATGATCAGCGAGCTGATGCCACGCGGCTACGATAATATGTTCTTCGCGCTTTTTGGAATAACCAATCGGGCTGTAAGTTTAGATATCTTGGTGCTGTATTTCCTTCAACTCACTAACCTTCTAGTCTTCAATCATCGGCCCCAATGTCATCCAAGCCATCATAAACAATACCCACAACAGTTGGATGGGCTTCCCGTTCTTATTCGCCATCTGCTCCGCGGCAATGGTCACTATCTGCTTTGTAGACATCAAAAAAGGTCGTGAGGACTGTCGAGAATTCATCGAGCAGCGCAAGATAGACCGTGTTGTGGCGGAGAGTGGTCTAGATCCCAATGATATCACAAAGGGAAAGCAACCTGTTCATAACGAAGACGTCCCGGAAGTGCAAAACGAACACGCAGGCACTTTAGTGACGGATTAAGCGTGTGTATTTTGGGAACGCTTGAGCTTTTATTCTCTACATATGCACGTCTCTTTTGGTCTCTGTTTTGATCGTAACACATGCCATCATTAAGTCTTACATGGATATCCCGAGTGAGATATTGCAAAATTGAACCTTCAAGTCTCAGCTTTTGTCGTGTCCTGTTGTAGCTCTTCGGTGCTCTCCTCAGCCTTACGCTGCTTCTGCTTTTCGACCTTGTCCCGCCATTGATCGCCGAAAACAGTCGTGAGCCACACACCGACCCCAGATGCAACCAAAAATAGGGCGCTGATGGTGCTGAACCACCCCACTCCGATACTCTCTACCGCCGGAAGAACAAGTCCGGACCCCAGAGCACCGAACACGTACCGGAACAGATAGCTACCGGCAACTACTTCGGCACTCCGCCCGCTCGACTGCATGACATCCAGACTGTAGGTATTGAGACTAGGGAAGCAGAAGAGCTGCGCTACTCCCTGGAAGAACATCGCAAGGACGGGGACTGGGATTCCACCAACAGCCTTCTCAACCGTCCAGCCATAGACCAAGATACAGCCGGGAATGACACCACCCAAAAATATCAGACAAGACTTCAGTCTGTCTTCGGGGACTCGAACACCACCGCGCTTGCGGATCCATTTCTTCACAGTACGATCTGCCCACCTTCCACCCATGAGTGTGCCAACAAGATACCCACAGCCTGGCGCGATGTAGAACAGTCCCGTCTGGATAGGATTGGTGAGGTTGAAACGTGGGTTGAGTACGTATCGGATCGGAGTTAGGAGAGAGTACTGGTTCCAGACCAGAGCGCCGGCAGCGAGACCCGTGCAGAAGAGGTTAGGGTATTTAAATAGCATAATAGCAACTTGGAGGGGGGAGATCCTGTGCCAAAGGTATTTGGCTTTTTGCCACATCGTCTTATCGGCCATGTCGCTTTTGGTCAGATGCGGGTAGGTTTCGGGGAAAAGGAAGAAGACGAGAAGCGTGCCGCAGCCTCCAAGAGCTGTCTGAAGCCAGAAGACCACTCGCCATGAGCGGAATGTGACGATCACGCCCTATATTTGTAGGTCAGCGAATTGTTTCAACACTGAATTCATAGATTGAGACTACACATACGCCAAGGAAAGGCCCAAAGGCTGGCCCAATTAGCGTTCCTGACAAAAACCACCCCAACGCTGTTGCCCGTGCTCGAGGCTCGTATATATCACCCAACGCCGAGCTCCCAACAACCAGGAAAGATGTTCCTTGAAATGCGGTCAAGACACGGAAAATATAGTACGCTGGGAGGTTGGGTGCTAGCGCCGTGCCGATGCTGAACGCAAAGAATAAGAATGCGCTCACAAGGAAGACCTACTCCCAATTAGCTGCTACTCCAATACAGACTTCTTCTCATTACCTACCGGACGTCGCCCCCAGACCTGGCTAAAGGGCCCCCAGAAGGGAGCCGCAATACCCATGAATGCCATATATAACGCATTGCTCGCGTTTATCACACTTCCTGTGGTGTTATATGTCTTTGCCACTTCGGGTATACCAGCTAATATGGAGGTGGAGGAGATAGGTGCTAGGAAAGAGCAAAATGACAGGACACCAACGATGATCACTTTGCGGGCTGGTGAAAAGCGTAAATATTGCTCCGCATCGACCTCCTGGAAATCATCATTGACAGCCATGTCATGATGTGAAACATGACTCCGTACGTGGTCAAGACCATTCACAGCTCCTTCGCGTTGTGAACGCCGGGATTGGGATCTCTGAATTTCGGTTTCGTTCGTCAATGACTGAGACTGCCTCTCCTCGCTGGAAGCTTTCGAGGTAGTTGGAGACATGGTGGGAAAGCTTTTAGCAAGAGCTAGTTCCTGCTAGCTTGTGGTAAATAGCCCCGAGTCTCTCGTGGTGCAGATGCAAGATATTAAAAAGGAAAGTTCTTTGCAATCGTTCTTAAATTCGGCTTCTTTCCGAGACCACGCTCGTCGGGTACATCCGTAAATGCACGGCAAAGTCTTCAATTGGAATCGTAGTAAAAAGCGAAGGAATTGAAGCGAATGGACTGAGTCTAAGCAACAGCAATGAGGTACATCGCAGACTTGAAACGTGACTCATAGAGAGAAATTCGAATGTCTCTTTTCCCTATCAACTGGAAGGATCGGCGGGCTTCCAACGTAGCGTCCTAGAGCCAGCGGCCCCCCTCACGAAGGGCTATCATCTTTCGGGGTCCTGCCCAATCTGGAGACAACCAATTTGATTCGGCGAGAAGACCGGTAGTTGCCGAGTAGGCGGAAAAGAATCCGAGGCTACCGAGGGAAAGTACATCTGTGAGATATAGTCTGTACGGAGTGTAGTCCCGCTTAAAGTGAATAAAAACGTCTTCCAAGGTTATAAATTAGAAAAAATGCCCTCCAGGGAAGAAATCTCAAGTGCTGTCATCGACATTGGAGTCTACCTAGATTCCCACCTTACAAGCAACTGGCCCTAGTCAGATATGGTCAGTCTTCCAATGTTAGATGCCAGCGTAGACATATTGTTGTATGTTGTATATGCATCATGTTATAATGAATACCTATGTAGGTATAATGAGCATCTCGAAGACAGCCCAATCTGGTGTGGCTGTTCACCAGACACAGCCCCTGCCCATGACGTTATCCGCTTCTGACCGCCAACGACCCAACTTCGTCCCTCCACCTCCCCACTCCTTGCCTTTATCTTGGAGATTTCGAATCCAATTCGATAGCTTAAGAATTCATTCTTATGAATATGTCCCCTCAGAGCCAAGTCCCTCCCAGTAGCAAGGGCTCATGGACAAGTTTCCTAAAGGCACGCAGGCTCATTTATTTGAGTATACTTGGCTAACAAATTTCTAGTCGATCGCCTCCTTTAACGGTGATCTATCCTCGTTGACTGCTCCTCCCTTCATCCTATCTACAACCTCCCTCACTGAGTACTCCGCTTACTGGGCTGAACACCCCGCCCTCTTCGTGGCACCAGCTAAGGAGGCCGATCCCGCGAAGCGTGCTCTCCTGGTTCTCAAGTGGTTCCTCAGCACACTACACCAGCAATACTGCAGCCGTAGCGAGAAACTCGGTAGTGAGAAGAAACCTTTGAACCCGTTCCTGGGAGAGCTGTTTATCGGTAAATGGGAGGGTGCCGCGGAAGTGGGGGAGACTGCATTGGTCAGTGAACAAGTCAGGTACGCGAGGCTACTGTTGTATGGGAACTACCGCCCACTGATTAAATCACAGCCACCATCCCCCGGCCACAGCCTACGCCATCCGCAATGAGAAGAACGGTGTTGAGGTGAGTGGATAAAGATTGTCCCAAGTCATTGAGAGGTGCCAATAACTGACAATACAACCACAGCTGCAAGGATATAACGCGCAGAAGGCCTCATTCTCTAGCACTATCCTCGTGAAGCAAATTGGCCATGCACTCTACTCAATCACCCCTCCCGGATCCGATGAGAAGGAGCAATACCTCATCACGCTACCCAGCCTACACATCGAATCGCTAATCTACGGCTCGCCCTTCGTCGAACTGGAGAAGTCAACCAAGATCGTCAGCAGCACCGGCTATGTCGCTAAGATTGACTATTCCGGCAAGGGCTGGCTGAGCGGCAAGAAGAACACCTTCACCGCCAGCCTGTTCAAGGAGAGCGAGGGTGAGAAGAAGCCCCTTTACACGGTAGAGGGTCAGTGGTCGGATAAGTTCTCTATTAAGGACGCCCGCACCAAGGATGTCATCGACACCTGGAACTCCAAGGAGAACCCCGTCACTCCGCTCACCCTGGCTCCCCTCGAGCAACAGGATCTGTACGAAAGTCGACGTGCCTGGAGCGACGTGGCCGCCAACATCCAGAAGGGAGACATGGATGCCGTTTCCGGGTACAAGTCGCGCATTGAGGCTGCTCAGCGCGAACAGCGCCGCATTGAGAAGGAGGAAGGCCGCGAGTGGGAGCGCCGTTTCTTCAACCGTGTTGAGGAGAGTGCCGAGGACGCCCAGATCCAGCGTCTTGCTAAATCGGCCGATCTTGCTTTCGAGACTGATAAAACTGGCGGTATCTGGCGCTTCGATGCTCAGAAGGCTGCTGGCGCTCAGCCGCCTTACCACAAGGTTGGCGGCGAGGGTCTCGGTCTCACCGAGTAGATTATTGCTGGGGTTGACACTTTTCTTTTGCCCGTCTGAATTTGTCTTGGGGCCTTGCTTGCACCACATAGATTTGACTTTTTGGATTCATATTCTACACCGTGTCATGTTGCATTCCGATTGTATATAGTTCCTAGTCCAGGTTGAAGTCGAAGCCGCGCACTTATATGCTTGGACTTGGCGGCTCAACCTTTCCATCTAATGGTATGGTATCTTCAATTACATTGATGGTCTACTCACACTTTGAACTTAACCCAAGCATGTGGCGGCTGGATGCTACATGAATGGCGAAAGTCTAGCACATTTTTGTGTCTACGAGGGTTACAATGTAAATACTAGAGCAGCTCTATATATAGGGGCCATACTGGATAGTACAGGACATACATAATTCATGACACTTTTAGCCCAGAACGCAACTGAGCATTGGATCTACCTCTACCAGACCCATTCAGCCATACATCATAATCATCGACCGATATTTCACATGTTGAGGAGGCACAAAGACAGAACAACATAGGAAGGGAGAAGT